ACATAAAGTAACGTATACAATAAAGCGTAAACGATAGTAAAAATCTCACCAATCTCCTATTTGCGAAGCAACTTTACTTAATTCGCTGGCTAGATACCCATCAATATTTCTCAGCAACAATCTGGTAACTTCTTGATTAGTAAACATGCAGACTGTAGCATTTAAGCAGCGATACACCATCTGAAATACTTATTTGGAGAGTTATTGTGACCTCAGTTCCTTCGGGAAACTCATTGGTCTCCCACCATATTGTACTTGACGAGTTCCTCGTTATCTTCGTCGTCGACAGCATTGAAAAGATGAACTGTTGGAAGAGCATCATCTCCAATTAACGGCGCATCTGTTGAGAGGTCGGACGGTCCTCGCAAGAAACGACCTTGTGTTGAACTAAATGAAAGGATGAAATCATTCTGACGACTACTACAGAGCAATACCGTACTCACCGGGACTGGTAGTCTAATTCATCCCCAATGGTCATCGGCAGGAGACTTTGAGTGAGATAACGGAATAAAGATGGGAGATCACGTCGAGATAGAGAATAGTATAGCACTTTATCCTTTAAATACACATAGTGATTTGAGCAAAACGTATGCCTCCATGTAAACATGGCAAACTGAATATCCGCGCACTGATTAGGACCTTTCGGTTTATGAGCACTCATCTCTCTAGATCGTCACTCACAAGGACAGGTCAAATGGTCAGTCAGAACATTCAAAGGCGGAGTTTAAGATGAGAAGAAGCCCACTAGGAATCAAAGTAAAGGTAGTCAGTGATACAGGAATGACGAAAAAGCCAAGCAAAATGGCAAATGGTCGAGAAATAGAATCCTCTTTTTGCCCACCGATTTGCGCATTTGGCAAATCTCGTCGGTGTCGCCCTAAGGCCGATGTCAGACTTTGCGAATCGCGCGATTCGCTAGCGTCCGCGGTCGCGTTGCGGTACCAGCCAATTGAGTGATTCACTGGCCGCGACGCGACCGCAGACGCTAGCGAATCGCGCGATTCGCAAAGTCTGACATCGGCCTAAAAAACGCTAACACTCTCTGTAGCAAAGCCAGACGACGAGGACCAGCCAATTGATGGGAGTGGAGTGGCGCGAGCGGCGCGGGTCTGCTAAACGACTGGAGGCGTACTCTTCGCTAGAAAACGCGTACCATTCCACACACTTGGGGGGCCTAGGTAGGTTATCTGCGAATGGATTTCGTAAAGAAGTCATGAAGTGGGAAAGCGCAGCGTTGGTGCCCCTACTCACAGGCAAGAGGTCGTGGGATGGACTCCACGGCGGAACTGTAGGTTTGCTCTTTTCGCAAAGTGTGACAAACTTTTTAAAAAATTGAAAAAAGGTAGAGATCCAGGACAGCCTGCCACTTTGATTGCTTTAAGCTTGCAATTTAGAAACAACCCAGACAGCAGGTTTTCCTCAGATCTCCAGAAACATCACCAATACTACGAAATTATTAAGAACAGACCTGATACAAGATGAGAATCTTCTGTATCACTGGAAACTCTTCCATCAGTTCGGATGACATTGATACCACGTTTAAGTATGTGGGCCCATTAATTTTCAGAAATGCTGCTCCATTCAAATAATCCAACAATGGCATCTTGAACGAGGCAAATATAACAGTGATTTGCAAACCGAAATTGAGAATCAACTACTAACCCTGTGTAGTTTTAGCAGAGGAAGGTAACGACCCGAGAAAATACTCAAGGCGTTCCTTGAACTTTTGCTCGTTTCTTTTCCTGAAACGAAGACGCAAAGGAATTACATCAAGTTTAGCCAGTTTTCTTATCATGCTAGGATCAACTTCGATCCAATATTGAATGCTTTCCTTTACCAGAAATACTTCTGAGAAAAAAGTTTAGAATGAATTCAAAACTAACCTGAACGGACTGAATTCTCCAAAGAAAAGGCGAAACATCTTGTAGACGTCTGTTAAAACGTTTTGGATTGCAGGTAGAAAGACAGAATATTCAACTGCAGCGTACTGAATCCTAAAGTAGGATACTAATCAAAGGTAGCAAAACAATTTCAATAGAAACATTACACTTTGAAAACGACACTTATCAAAACCAGCAACCTACTTAGAAAGCGCAAGGCCAATAAGAAACTCGCAATCTTCCACTTGTATGTAGACATGCTCTGACTTCTGCGTGGATACAGTTCGAAAAGGAAATTCAGGTTTCTCTGCCTGCTCTTGAGGGCTTACGAAGTTGTCCGTAAAATTGACAACGGCTTCCGCAAATCCAGTAATCTCTGCCTGAGAGTAATTGAAACAATAAAGTGAAATTATTAAGAGAAGATGACAAATTGGAACAAATATTAATTGTGATTAGACAATGCGTGGACGTGTTTTCCAAGTCACACCTCAGCTGACTGAGCACTAACAACGATATGAGGATGCCGTAATCGTCCCGATTACCTTTTCCCCCGTCTTGCCGCCTCTAAATGGGAAGACCTCGCCCCAACTTGTGCACGTGATACAATCTGCAAATACGAACTTTGCCTGCCTTCAACACACAAATCCACTGAATCGCCCTGCACAGATGCCGCTTATCATCAACGAAAATCTCCACCTTCCTCCTTCTATCAGTATAGAAGTTATTCCGAAATGGTGCTCTCTTGGTTCGCAATGGGCGACAAGAAGGTCAAGCAGAAGCCAAGAAACATGAAGGAGGGACTAATCCGTCGAGTCTGCTGAAGGTGTGCAAAACCACGAAAGGCGGTGTATACTAGTGAACAACAACTGCGTGTTGTCGTTCACTCTTCTGCGAAATTGAAGTAACCTTTTTTTGCAATCCTTTGAAGACCCTCTGACCACATACCGGCAAACCGCACCCTCTTCGTGAAAAGAAAAACATGTGGCTATTATTTCATGAAGTTCATGTGTTTGTTCGAAAATTTAGACACCAGCGTTTCGCAGGATCTGATCCTATGGTGCTGCTCTGACTGCACCAGCTTTTCATTGTGATTTCGACAGGAAGCCGAGTCATTTAGCTGAATCCCTACTAACTGGATTCATAAGCAGGGCCACCACTCCCTGCTGCTTCTGTTGTGAAAGGGCCTTTCTTTCACAGCTCATCTTTTCCAACAATTTCCGATAAACCCGAAGAGAGCCATTCATGATTTCTAGCCGCTAGTGTTGTTTCCACGACGGAATCCAACATCGCGCGATACTGGGCTCCCAGACAATACCTAACCATTTGGGCGCGGCCGCGGCGAACGCGGCCGAGTCGATTGTGCCCGCGAACCGTTGAAAACGCACTCGAGGTGCCCGCGAACTGTGCTGTGCTGAGTTCGCGGGCACCTATCAACTCGGCCGCGTTCGCCGCGGCCGCGCCCAAATTAGGCCCTGTTCAGAGATGTCCGCCGGCGCGAAAAAACGCACAGGCGAAAATCTCCGCCAAGATTTAGATACGCATCGACTGAGAAATTGTGAAACGCGTAAGCGAAACGTCCGGAGCAGGCGAATTTCAGTCAAGAGTTTGATATGTATCGACTGTGAGAAACGCACAGGCGGAAAATCGCGTGAGCGAAGCGTTCGTAAGTCGATGCGTATGATACTCATTTTCGTCGATCCTCCCACTTCACGATTCGCCTGTGCGTCTTCGTTCAGTCGATACATATTTCACATTGTTTCGCCTATGCGTTTTTTCGCGCAAGCGGACATCTCTGAACAGGGCCTTAGGTATTGTTGGCGAGAGCCCGCGGATATTCTCTATGTTTTGTTGGTGGCTTGCTTCTGTATTATCAACCAATAAAAGAAATAAATACCTTAAAAGCCCAAGAAAATGATAGTAAATCAAAATAAGTACCTGACGATCTAAGGTCTCCCCTTTCGGATAGAAATACATAATGCGCTGATGTTCCTCGCCTTCCCGTCGCCCCGATGAAGGATGAGCAACGAAGAAGAATTCGAGGATGTCTAAATAATCCGACAGAATTAAACGATTTGAAACGCAATGAAGAAACCACTCACCAGGGAGACGGACCCACATCTCCGCTTGTGTGACATTGGTAGTATTGGTTGCGAAGAAATACAGTGGATTTGCAAAAGAACCGGACAACATCGACCAGTCGTTGAGCATAAAAAGTCTCGCGTTTTGAATAATGTGTGCAACATTGCGTACCGTTACAAATAAGAATACGTAAATGTTCAGACTATGTTTTTGAACTTCGGGCTTCGCAGTGATTCACTCGTGTCAGCTGTAACGAAATAGCATGACACATTTCAATCGTTTTTAGCTTTGCTTCCCGACACACCATGCTCGTCTTGTTATTGGCGTTCATCTGTGCATCGAAGACGTTGTTGAGCGTTTAACTATCCGTTCTCATTTTTTTTGCTCAGCTGGGACACGTTGACTCTTCTGACAAGTCACCCAACCTAATCTTATGTGACGTGTCCTGAAAGTTTCCATTAGTTAGAGCAGTCATCCCAATTAGTAGTGTGGACGCTATCGCAAGATATGGGCACTGTGATGCCAGTGCACTTAAGGCCGCGTGGAACACTTTCTTTTGTTGAAAGTGGGACGACGCTTTAGGCACAGGAGGAGGAATTCCTGGATGTTTGAGCAGTTTCATTTCCCTCGGAGTTCCTCCTCTCCCCCCCTAGGCTTACAAGGAAAGGAAAAGCATGGTCATTCAAGAAGAGATGTATACGCCTAGATGTGCCTTCGAACGCTGATCTCAAATCTACCTTCCAAATCTGCTAAACGATTCTCTGAACGGAGTTATGAAGCAAAACAGCGCAACGGTAGTGGTCGGGACTCAAGTCAAGACGTTGGATCGGTCCCTATCGTGTTTACTGTTTTCCATTCTTTACGAGCAGCTAAATGGCGCTTAATAGCCTAAACAGCTGAATTCCTGAAGAATGCAAAACAGTAATACGATAAGGGACCGATCCTACGACGTTTTGACTGTGAGTCCCGACCACTACCGTTGCGCTGTTTTGCTTCATAACTCCGTTCAGAGAATCGTTTAGCAGATTTGGAAGGTAGATTTGAGATCAGCGTTCGAAGGCACATTTAGGCGTATACATCTCTTCTTGAATGGCCATCAATACCTGTGAGCCTTTTCTTGTTAGTTTTAGAGGAAGCCCACCATCTGCGATAGCGGCGTGGTACGCTTAATGGACCGGCTAAAACAGCTCTATCAGTCTTGCTAATTGAGGTATTTTCTTTTTTAGATGTGTTTTGAGGAACTGTTTTGGCGTTCACTCAAAACTACTTGTTTGTTAAATTATCGTACGCTTTCTTCGCTAGTTTGCGCCCCTAAATTTGCGGTGCAGCGAGTATCTAGCAACTCATTTGGATGATCATTGCTCTTTTTGGAAGATTTTTTTCTGTTCCTGTCGGGGAAATCGGGGCTCATGTATCTCTAGCGCTACCACCTCTATCTTACTACTGCTTGGTTTCATTCAGTTCTTCGGAATGCCATTTCTTAGTTGTTTTTAACCAACAAGAGAAACGAGATGTCAAGCCAAGTGAATTTGTGTTCAAATTAGAGAAAAAGGACTGTTCATATGGCGAATGATTGAAAGGGTACTTGAAATGGCGACGCAATGCTTACCTAGTGTTATCTACTCAGTAAACATCTTTCACAATCACGACCGATGTTGATAAAATCATGCAGTTGTCAGCAATCACTGAAGTTGCACTTGTTGACCAAAGTACAATAATGTTGCAGTTGACCGGTGTAAAACTAGGCTAGTTGAGTGATTATTCATGACGAAACAAGGGTAAGGTATCAAAGAGCCGGAACAACCGGTTATTGTGAAATGCAAAACTCTCCCGAAACATTGATTACCACAAAGGTCTTCAACTTTTCCTCGAAACGTCAACATCGTTGAATGAGAGTTCTCCCAGTTAGCTGTACCACCTGTTGTTTTTTTAGATAGCTTTTTTTAGCTAACAATCTACGCCTTATCTTTTGCCAATGTCGCCATCTTCTCTAAATTAGTGCAGGATCAATTACCTGTGCTATGTCAACCTGGCGCATTACCACCCTAACATTTCCGCGCTAACCAAGAAAGACTTTCAAATTCACATGGATTCGAGTTGAGACCCAAATATATCGAGTAGAGCTTCAAACGCTGATTACAAATATGGAAACTAAAACTGCAAAATGAACTTGTCAAGGAAAATTTGTGAGCACCCGAAGTCGGGTGGAAGTGAAGCGTTGCTATGAACCTTGCTAGACTACAGGCTTCTCATAGTCGCCATGGAGTATAGTAGTACCCTCGCTCTTCACCCGGGAGGTCATAAGTTCTCTTCCGTTGGAGTGCAAATTTCGAGAGCACTACCACTACTCCACGGCGACTTTGAAAGCCCGGAGGCTAGCACGGTTCATATGTAATGCTTTACTTCCAGCCAACTTTGACTGCTCACAACTTCCTTGGCAGGTTCATTTTGCAGTTTTAGTTTCCATATTTGTATCAGCGTTTCGGTAAAAAAAAAGTCATTTGAAGCTCTATCGATATATGTGTCTGGGTCTCAATAAGTTCCATGGGAAGTTGAATGCTTACCCTGGAAAAGGTCGAGTCGTGAAGTGAACACGTATCGTTTATGTGATAGTAGGATTTCCCGCGTACACCATGCTAGAACTACATAATTTGCATGAGAAGTTACACATAGACCCGCTCAAATATTTATTTCGCCCTTTGCTCGTTCCTAGTCTACGCCAATGCTCTCTCTAGTTCAAGTCTGGGACGGTGCAGATTTCCTTCCGTCCTCGCGTAGGGGCCAGATTATTGGTGAATCACTTCTGCATAGGTTGTGACATGTGCTTACAAATGGCAAAATAGCATTATTCTGTAGTCATTGAGGATGGCGAGATGTGAGCGTAAAAGGTTCGCTCTTCGTGGTTTTTACATTTATGGTTCGAGTTTCTTTCTTTAGACTCTCCTCTACTGACCACTATCCGCAGTAATTCTCCGCAGCATTCCGAAATACTGTTTAGTAAACTTAAAGGCACGCTCCGCGATCAGGCGGCTCGCCTGTTCCATCCAGGGGGTAGTAGGCAGGTGGACAAGTGTTGATGTCGGGCCCCTTTTGCGGCTTGAAAGTGCGCGACAAAGGCGCAAGGAGCTCGTCCAACCCGCAACTCACACCTTCGTCCGCAAGCCCCACCCTTCGCTGTCGGTTGCCACGTGGCGCTGCTGCGCATTTGAGGCAGTGGTCCCAGCGCGATCCAATGTTATTGACACTGGAGCAAGTAGAGTTAGGTTCGTGAAACTCGTCCAATTCGCCTCTTCTCTCGGGTGTGATACTCGCACTATGGCACATGTGGTTACGCAATGGATATGAGCCAGGACTGATCTCTTCCATTCTACCACGATGTGATTTGGGGCTCCCAGCAGAGTTTCGTCGCGGGACCGGGCGGCCACTGGCCGGTCCTTTGATTTTACGATTACGTTTTAACCTTTTTACTGTTTTACACTGTAGATTTGTCCACGTATATGCAGCTATATTGTTGTAATTGCTTTAGTTTATCCTGATTCTTTCGCATATTGGATGGTCCAGCCCGGGCACTGAAGGGATCTCGTACCAGGACCAATCTTTGCATAGTTTTATGACTAATTAATCGGCAACACATCGGTTTGGGAAGGGGAAGTTGCCGTAAAGCCCTTGGGCCATTTCAGCAAGCTTCACTGGCCTAGATGCATCTTTACTTACTGACGAATTTGAATGGGAACTGAATGTTCTGATGGCATTCATGCAATAGACCCTTTTGTTTTTCTCCCAGTCCGCGCCATTTCACCACCACTACTCAAATCTGTTTCACAAACGGAACATCAATTCAGGACAAGAGTTACCTGCACGGCCTAATTTCCTCAGTTTTTGTTGATTTATTGGCGGACAATTGCACATCAACTCGTCATTACACTAAACCTCCAAAAGCGCTAAACAGCTGACGGAGACCTCCCACAGCAGCTGCCAAACCTTCGGGCTTGGTTTGAAAGTCCGTTGCCGACAATCGCGGTGGTCCTGGCACGAAAACTTGCTCACATTCTTTTGGCTATGTTCCAGAATCTCTTGCGGGAATATTCTTGGCTGCAATTTCATTTGCTCTTAAGTTAGTAAGTCGCTGCAATGGTAGCTTGATTGTGATAGCTTAAAATTATCTCCAAGATTTGCTGGAGCTTTCCTTTTATGCTGGTACCGAGCAATTGTTTTCATCGTTTTTAAAGAATGAAATTCGAGCATTCTTTTATAATACTCATCCTTCATGTATGAATAATGCTTGTTTGGACGATGTTTTACTCCTATTTGTAGGAGAACTTTGTTGATTTTAATCAAATGGCATCCGGTGCCGACGCTCTCCTCGCCCTTACGGGTAGACGCACCACAGGTCAAAGTATTCGGACTCAGAATGGTGAGGATTTCTTTTATTTTGGGCTTTCTACATCTCATACATGAGTGCGACCTATGGTAAGCTACTAAAATTCTGCAACTTCAAAATTTCAAGGTATTTCAAATCTCATTTCTAATTTCAAGGTATAAAGCGTCACCTGGACGATAATCTTGGTCCCATTTACACAGCGAATGACCCTAGTCCCACAAATGAATGTCATTCTCGATCTCTGGGCTTTCAAGTAATCTCTTTGACCGAGGTTTCAGAAGCAAAAACTAATCATTCCATACTTCTCGCATACACATCATGTTTAAAGGTTGTGTTCCTTGAATGTGTGCCAGAACGCAGAAATTTTACGAGCATGTAAATTCAAGTGAAGCTTACCAAAAGAAGTTTTTTTCTTCGGCTAGGGTTTGGTGGTGCTGTTTGTAAATCCTTTTTTAAGTGACTGCTGCTGTGGCAATCGCAAATATTGTGAAGTCCTCCCTTGGTCCTGTTGGGCTCGACAAGATGCTTGTTGATGATGTTGGAGTGAGTTTTATAACACGCTTGTTGCTAAGTCATTTAGGCTGGTGTCAGAGTCCGCGATCCGTCGCAGGTTTCGCTGATTTCAGCGATTTTCGCGATTTTCGCGAAACCTGCGATGGATCACAGGAGTTGGAAGTGCCCGATGAATGACTGCGAGGTGCTGTTTAATCCTGCTGCGAATTCTGCTTGACAGTGAAGATTGGAAGACGACTGTTCGTGATTCTACTTGTTTCATGTTCAATGTCTATCAGTTCATTGAATGCTCATGATTCGGATCGCAAAAATTGCAAGTGCCCCATTTGAACAATTTGAAACACTGAATATCAAACAAGTGGAATCATGAGGGCAGTCGTCATTCAGCCATCACTATCAAGCAGAAGTGGCGGCGGGATTGGAGAACACCTTGCAGTATTGATGGGGCACTTGTGGTTACCGTGACCTGTCGCGCAATCGGCGCAAATCGCGAAACTCGCGGGAATCAGCGAAACCTACGACGGATCGCGCCCTCTAACACCAACCTAACGAAAAGCATCGGCTCGAACCTAATTTTTTCGCTTCAATTTGTAAAGCTCATTCATGAATATACGGCTTATCGATTGAACTGTAGAACCTGTCATAACACGATTATGCTTATTAAATGTGAACTTTCAAGGATGTCATTGTAACTAATGATGGTGCTACTATTCTGAAGCAACTTGAAGTAGAGCATCCGGCTGGGAAAGTCCTCGTCGAGTTAGCGCAGCTTCAGGATGATGAGGTATATTATCATTTCTCAATATTTTATTTTCTGAGCATATAGGTTTCATGAAGGTCTTTGACGTGGATCGTTTTGGTGCGGCAAATGTTGTTCGTATAATAATACGTTTAATTTGCTGAGCAATCTAAAGGTTATTTGATTATTTCTTCCCTAAGAGAATTTCTCACAGAAGTTTTAGTCGCGTTTTACACTAGTGCCATCATTCAAAAGTTGGCAGGTCTCAGTTTTGTTCGAATCTAACACTGAAATCAATTCTGCTGCTTTTGCTCGTTAATGTTTATTTGGTTGTTTTTTAGTGGATAAGCTCAAATATTGCCACTTTTGTTTCACAAGGAAGTGTCGTGAAGTGTATCAGTGTATCGTATATGTACTTTTTAGGTTGGTGATGGTACCACCTCAGTAGTCATCGTTGCCGCTGAACTGCTAAAAGCTGCCGATGAGCTTGTCAAAAACAAGCTTCACCCCACTACCGTCATCAACGGTTATAGGCTCGCTTGTAAGGAGGCTGTCAAATACATGCAGGTTTGTGCGCAATAGTTAGTTTAGTGGGTTTCTCCTAAATTATGCTATTTTATGTTTTCTGTTTTCTATCCAATTTTCTCAGTTCTCTTTTTCGTGCCTTTTCTGTTCCTCTGGTGAACGCAACGCAAACCACTTCGAAGTACTTCGTATAATGTTTGGTTTTCCAGGAAAATTTGTCATTTTCCGTTGACGAGTTGGGCCGACAGTCGCTCATTCGAAAGCTGCGAAAACATCTATGAGCAGCAAACTCATTGGATCGTAAGTGCCGTTGACGTAATCTCTTTTTCCTCTTGTTAATTTGCTTATGCTTTTTCTAGAGACTCTGACTTCTTCGCTGCTCTTTGCGTAGATGCAGCCGAAGCTGTGAAGGTGACGGACTCGACCGGCAAGGTAACGTAATCAGTTGTCATCAGTTAGTCGCTGAGTATGTATTTTTAGATAACTTATCCAATTGCTGCCGTAAATGTCTTGAAAGCGCATGGAAAGAGTGCTCGCGAATCAATGCTCATCAAGGGATACGCTCTGAATTGCACAGTGGCTAGCCAAGGTCAGAAGGGCTTAAATTTGAAAAATGTGTTTGCTTGTTTGAAATGTTTTGTTTCTTTGTCATACTGCAATGTTGTTTCAGCGATGCCACTCTCAGTTCCAAACGCAAAGATTGCTTGCCTTGACTTCTCTCTACAAAAAGCGAAAATGCATCTTGGAATCTCTGTCATTCGTTGAGTCCCCGGAGAAACTGGAGCTATCCGGCGGGAGTGAGTTTTACCGCTTTAATGTATGTGGAAGGACATTTCGTTTTGATATGGGAAATGCGTTTTAGAGAGTTCGACATCACGAAACGCCGAATTGAGAAAATCTTGAAAGCAGGAGCAAATGTAATTCTCACCACTGAGGTCTGCTGGAAGTCCTAGCTC